TGATCAGTGATGCTTTACCATGGAATATTTCACCTGCATATCCAATAATCCCACCATAAGCTTCTACTATTGCCTGATGACCTAAACAAATTCCTATTATAGGGATCTGACCTTTAACTTTTTTTATCAAATCTAACATGCACCCAGCATTTTTAGGTAAACTAGGACCAGGTGATAACATTAGAATAGGGTTTTTTAGTTCTTTAAGAGATTTTAAAATAATATGAATATCTACTGTATTACGATAAATTAAAACATTATTTTTTTGGTTTCTAGTTTGTCTACAAGATTATAAGTAAATGAGTCTATATTATCTAAGAGTAAAATATTTGCCATTTTTAAAAAAATCCTTTTATAGAATGTGCTTTTTTTATAGCATTTATTACAGCTTTTGCTTTCTTTAAACTCTCTTTAACTTCATCTTGGGGGATTGAATTAAAAACAACACCAGCCCCTGCTTGGATTGTTGCAATATTATTTTCTACATAAGCTGATCGTATTGTTATACAAGTATCTAAATTTCCTAAATCAGTAAAATAACCTATAGCCCCCCATAGCTTCCTCTGCATTCCTTTTCATATTCAGCAATCAGTTGCATGCACGTACTTAGGTGCTCCAGTTAATGTTCCCATGTTCATACAAGCAGAATATGCATGAAGAGCATCTAATCTACCTCTTAATTTACCTACTACTTTAGAGACCAAATGCATTACATGAGAATACTTGTCTACCTTTACTAAATCTGAAACATATCTAGATCCTGGTTCACAAATACGTGCAAGATCATTTCGAGCTAAGTCTACAAGCATTAAATGTTCGGCTAATTCTTTATGATTAGTCCTCATTTCAAGTTCTATTCTACTATCTAAATCTAAATCTAGAGTTCCATCTTTTTTTCTACCCCTAGGTCTAGTACCAGCTATGGGATAAAGTTCTATTTGTCTTGTTTTTTCATCATACTTTAAAGAACTTTCTGGAGATGCTCCAAATAATATAAAACTTTCATCTTGCATGAAAAACATATAAGGACTAGGATTACTTTTTTTTAATTCTTGATAAGCTGCTAATGAATTATTACAAGGTAAGAAAAACTTTCGAGATGGTACAACTTGAATATTTCACCTTTTTGAATTAATTTTTGAAGTTTTTTTATTATGGATGAATATTGCAAATCACTCATGTTTGAAGTTAATTCAATTTTTGAATTGAATTTATTTGCAGAGATAAAATTAAATTTTTCTTTAAGTTTTTTTTGTATTTGTTCTGTTCTCTTTTCAATTCTTTCTTTTTCATTTAAATTTTTGCTGAACAAACTACCTTGAATTAAACAAGTTTTTTTTGGTGATCTAAAATAAGCAATGTTTCTGCTAAATAAAAACAAAAATCTGGACATTTTTGATTTTTTTTTAAGTTTGGTAATAATTCGAAATTAGAAATAAGATCATAAGAAAATAATCCACCAAAAAATAATGCCTTACTAATTTTTTTCGTATTTTTTAAAATTTTTATGATGAATCTAAATGAATCAAATATTGATAATGAAAAAATCTTTTCATCTTCATCAATATTTTTTTTCATAGGTGGGAAATAAAGTTAATACTATTATCCTTTTCAAAAATTTTTAATTGTTTATGAGGATTTTTCTTTAAAACAGATAATATTTCTGCTCCGTTAGCAGATAGAGCAGTTATGCTAACTAGGTTTTTTATGGCAGAAACACGTATTGCACTATCAACAATCATTATACTTTCTAAATCATTTTTTTTATTAACTTCCGCAGGTTCAAGTAACAATGTTGCTGATCTTGATCCACAAAGATGATTAAAAACTTTTTGTAGGATCAGGATGATAGTTAGCCTTTTTTGAATATTTCAATTTCATATTGGCTTGTTGCCATTAATTTACATCTCTTTTTAATCAAAAAAATTTTGTTTGATTTTTTTCCATAATAACTAATTTATAAAATTAAAGCAAGATGATCATTTTTTATTTTTTTTTAAAAAAAGTGTATAATATATTTAAGTATATAATACATATGTTAAATAAAATGATACTAATACTTACTGTATATAAAAAAATAATAATAATTAAAAACTTTATATATAATATATATATTTTTTTTTTTTTTAAGGGAAGATAGTAAGAAGTTTTAACCTTTAACTAATTAGTTGTTTTTTAGTGTTTTTTTTTTTTTTATTATGCAGTATTTCCATATACTAAAAAACATATTATATACATATATACAGAACTTATCCCCAGACTTATGAACATGTTATTAACATGTATATTATAAGTTAAAAAAAAAATTTTTTTTATAAAAAACATAATGTTACGTTATTTATATAGTTAATAAAGTTTAAATTTTGTATATTTTTTACTAAACTTATACACAGAAATTGTGGATAACTTTTTTAAAAAATTATTTGGTTTTTTTATCTTATAAAAAATAGATTATTTTATAAGAATTTTCTTTATGAAAATCTTATATTTTATATCAATAATTTTTTCCTATTTTTGTTTTTGCATTTGATAGTTATTAATTATTTTTTTTATAAGTAATTAAACTGTGATTTTTATTGCTCGAATATTTTCAGATACATGTTTACTTGAATCTGGAAGGCTATAGTTTAAAAAAAATTATTAGAGAAGGGAGTATATCTGAGGAGATTTTTGATAAGTTTGAATTGAATAACAGCTCATTCTGTTATAAATTTATCGTATTTAACGATAAATAAGTTTTTATATATGTAGTAAAAACAGTTTTAAAAAAATAATTTTAAATTGAATCGATTTACTACAGTGTTAAATTAAATATAGCATATTAAATTATTTTTGATATTTATGTTTTTTTAATTCCTATTAATCGTAAAAAATTACTTCTAATAATTATTTTAAGTCTTTTTTTATATATTCAAATATGTAATCTTTAATAAACTTTAATCAATTCTTTCTCAAGTTCATATAAACCAAAAACCATACTAAGTTTTTTTTCAAAAACTTAGTCTTTTCTGTGAAGGGGGATGTTTTTTGTGTATTTTCTTTAATTTTTCTTCTTCATCTAAGATATATTAATATTGTTTTAATATTTTTTTTCAATTATTGGAGCTTTAATTTTTATATTAAAATTACATTAGACGTATTTTTATATGTTTTTTTTGATTTTAAAAATATTTAGTTGTTAAACTATAAATAGTATAGGAATATTTATTTTTTAGAAAATCGATATGGGAACTTCAAAATAATAACATTTTTAATAAAATATTTTTTATTCTTTAATATATTTTAACGATGCCCAACTAATAATTTTTTCTAATATCTGATCTCCGCAAGTTGTTAAAATAGCTTCGGGGTGAAATTGAAAACCACATACTCGATCTAAGTTATTTCTTACAGACATAATCATTTTTTCAAAATAAGAGTTAATTATAAAATTTTTTGGAATTTTGTTGCAGACTAATGAATGATATCGAGCAACAGGTAATGGTTGAGTTATGCCTTTAAACATCTCTAAACCGTCATGGTTGATCAGTGATGCTTTACCATGGAATATTTCACCTGCATATCCAATAATCCCACCATAAGCTTCTACTATTGCCTGATGACCTAAACAAATTCCTATTATAGGGATATGACCTTTAACTTTTTTTATCAAATCTAACATGCACCCAGCATTTTTAGGTAAACTAGGACCAGGTGATAACATTAGAATAGGGTTTTTTAGTTCTTTAAGAGATTTTAAAATAATATGAATATCTACTGTATTACGATAAATTAAAACATTATTTTTTTGGTTTCTAAGTTGTTCTACAAGATTATAAGTAAATGAGTCTATATTATCTAAGAGTAAAATATTTGCCATTTTTAAAAAAATCCTTTTATAGAATGTGCTTTTTTTATAGCATTTATTACAGCTTTTGCTTTATTTAAACTCTCTTTAACTTCATCTTGGGGGATTGAATTAAAAAACAACACCAGCCCCTGCTTGGATTGTTGCAATATTATTTTCTACATAAGCTGATCGTATTGTTATACAAGTATCTAAATTTCCTAAATCAGTAAAATAACCTATAGCCCCCCATAGCTTCCTCTGCATTCCTTTTCATATTCAGCAATCAGTTGCATTGCACGTACCTTAGGTGCTCCAGTTAATGTTCCCATGTTCATACAAGCAGAATATGCATGAAGAGCATCTAATCTACCTCTTAATTTACCTACTACTTTAGAGACCAAATGCATTACATGAGAATACTTGTCTACCTTTACTAAATCTGAAACATATCTAGATCCTGGTTCACAAATACGTGCAAGATCATTTCGAGCTAAGTCTACAAGCATTAAATGTTCGGCTAATTCTTTATGATTAGTCCTCATTTCAAGTTCTATTCTACTATCTAAATCTAAATCTAGAGTTCCATCTTTTTTTCTACCCCTAGGTCTAGTACCAGCTATGGGATAAAGTTCTATTTGTCTTGTTTTTTCATCATACTTTAAAGAACTTTCTGGAGATGCTCCAAATAATATAAAACTTTCATCTTGCATGAAAAACATATAAGGACTAGGATTACTTTTTTTTAATTCTTGATAAGCTGCTAATGAATTATTACAAGGTAAGAAAAACTTTCGAGATGGTACAACTTGGAATATTTCACCTTTTTGAATTAATTTTTGAAGTTTTTTTATTATGGATGAATATTGCAAATCACTCATGTTTGAAGTTAATTCAATTTTTGAATTGAATTTATTTGCAGAGATAAAATTAAATTTTTCTTTAAGTTTTTTTTGTATTTGTTCTGTTCTCTTTTCAATTCTTTCTTTTTCATTTAAATTTTTGCTGAACAAACTACCTTGAATTAAACAAGTTTTTTTTTGGTGATCTAAAATAAGCAATGTTTCTGCTAAATAAAAACAAAAATCTGGACATTTTTGATTTTTTTTTAAGTTTGGTAATAATTCGAAATTAGAAATAAGATCATAAGAAAATAATCCACCAAAAAATAATGCCTTACTAATTTTTTTCGTATTTTTAAAAATTTTTATGATGAATCTAAATGAATCAAATATTGATAATGAAAAAATCTTTTCATCTTCATCAATATTTTTTTTCATAGGTGGGAAAATAAAGTTAATACTATTATCTTTTTCAAAAATTTTTAATTGTTTATGAGGATTTTTCTTTAAAACAGATAATATTTCTGCTCCGTTAGCAGATAGAGCAGTTATGCTAACTAGGTTTTTTATGGCAGAAACACGTATTGCACTATCAACAATCATTATACTTTCTAAATCATTTTTTTATTAACTTCCGCAGTTTCAAGTAACAATGTTGCTGATCTTGATCCACAAAGATGATTAAAAACTTTTGTAGGATCAGGATGATAGTTAGCCTTTTTTTGAATTATTTCAATTTCATATGGGCTTGTTGCCATTAATTTACATCTCTTTTTAATCAAAAAATTTTGTTTGATTTTTTTCCATAATAACTAATTTATAAAATTAAAGCAAGATGATCATTTTTTATTTTTTTTAAAAAAAAGTGTATAATATATTTAAGTATATAATACATATGTTAATAAAATGATACTAATACTTACTGTATATAAAAAAATAATAATAATTAAAAACTTTATATATAATATATATATTTTTTTTGTTTTTAAGGGAAGATAGTAAGAAGTTTTAACCTTTAACTAATTAGTTGTTTTTTAGTGTTTTTTTGTTTTTTATTATGCAGTATTTCCATATACTAAAAACATATTATATACATATATACAGAACTTATCCCCCGACTTATGAACATGTTATTAACATGTATATTATAAGTTAAAAAAAAAATTTTTTTATAAAAAACATAATGTTACGTTATTTATATAGTTAATAAAGTTTAAATTTTGTATATTTTTTACTAAACTTATACACAGAAATTGTGGATAACTTTTTTAAAAAATTATTTGGTTTTTTTATCTTATAAAAAATAGATTATTTTATAAGAATTTTCTTTATGAAAATCTTATATTTTATATCAATAATTTTTTCCTATTTTTGTTTTTGCATTTGATAGTTATTAATTATTTTTTTTATAAGTAATTAAACTGTGATTTTTATTGCTCGAATATTTTCAGATACATGTTTACTTGAATCTGGAAGGCTATAGTTTAAAAAAAATTATTAGAGAAGGGAGTATATCTGAGGAGATTTTTGATAAGTTTGAATTGAATAACAGCTCATTCTGTTATAAATTTATCGTATTTAACGATAAATAAGTTTTTATATATGTAGTATAAAACAGTTTTAAAAAAATAATTTTAAATTGAATCGATTTACTACAGTGTTAAATTAAATATAGCATATTAAATTATTTTTGATATTTATGTTTTTTTAATTCCTATTAATCGTAAAAAATTACTTCTAATAATTATTTTAAGTCTTTTTTTATATATTCAAATATGTAATCTTTAATAAACTTTAATCAATTCTTTCTCAAGTTCATATAAACCAAAAACCATACTAAGTTTTTTTTCAAAAACTTAGTCTTTTCTGTGAAGGGGGATGTTTTTTGTGTATTTTCTTTAATTTTTCTTCTTCATCTAAGATATATTAATATTGTTTTAATATTTTTTTTCAATTATTGGAGCTTTAATTTTTATATTAAAATTACATTAGACGTATTTTTATATGTTTTTTTTGATTTTAAAAATATTTAGTTGTTAAACTATAAATAGTATAGGAATATTTATTTTTTAGAAAATCGATATGGGAACTTCAAAATAATAACATTTTTAATAAAATATTTTTTATTCTTTAATATATTTTAACGATGCCCAACTAATAATTTTTTCTAATATCTGATCTCCGCAAGTTGTTCAAATAGATTCGGGGTGAAATTGAAAACCACATACTCGATCTAAGTTATTTCTTACAGACATAATCATTTTTTCAAAATAAGAGTTAATTATAAAATTTTTTGGAATTTTGTTGCAGACTAATGAATGATATCGAGCAACAGGTAATGGTTGAGTTATGCCTTTAAACATCTCTAAACCGTCATGGTTGATCAGTGATGCTTTACCATGGAATATTTCACCTGCATATCCAATAATCCCACCATAAGCTTCTACTATTGCCTGATGACCTAAACAAATTCCTATTATAGGGATATGACCTTTAACTTTTTTTATCAAATCTAACATGCACCCAGCATTTTTAGGTAAACTAGGACCAGGTGATAACATTAGAATAGGGTTTTTTAGTTCTTTAAGAGATTTTAAAATAATATGAATATCTACTGTATTACGATAAATTAAAACATTATTTTTTTGGTTTCTAAGTTGTTCTACAAGATTATAAGTAAATGAGTCTATATTATCTAAGAGTAAAATATTTGCCATTTTTAAAAAAATCCTTTTATAGAATGTGCTTTTTTTATAGCATTTATTACAGCTTTTGCTTTATTTAAACTCTCTTTAACTTCATCTTGGGGGATTGAATTAAAAACAACACCAGCCCCTGCTTGGATTGTTGCAATATTATTTTCTACATAAGCTGATCGTATTGTTATACAAGTATCTAAATTTCCTAAATCAGTAAAATAACCTATAGCCCCCCATAGCTTCCTCTGCATTCCTTTTCATATTCAGCAATCAGTTGCATTGCACGTACCTTAGGTGCTCCAGTTAATGTTCCCATGTTCATACAAGCAGAATATGCATGAAGAGCATCTAATCTACCTCTTAATTTACCTACTACTTTAGAGACCAAATGCATTACATGAGAATACTTGTCTACCTTTACTAAATCTGAAACATATCTAGATCCTGGTTCACAAATACGTGCAAGATCATTTCGAGCTAAGTCTACAAGCATTAAATGTTCGGCTAATTCTTTATGATTAGTCCTCATTTCAAGTTCTATTCTACTATCTAAATCTAAATCTAGAGTTCCATCTTTTTTTCTACCCCTAGGTCTAGTACCAGCTATGGGATAAAGTTCTATTTGTCTTGTTTTTTCATCATACTTTAAAGAACTTTCTGGAGATGCTCCAAATAATATAAAACTTTCATCTTGCATGAAAAACATATAAGGACTAGGATTACTTTTTTTTAATTCTTGATAAGCTGCTAATGAATTATTACAAGGTAAGAAAAACTTTCGAGATGGTACAACTTGGAATATTTCACCTTTTTGAATTAATTTTTGAAGTTTTTTTATTATGGATGAATATTGCAAATCACTCATGTTTGAAGTTAATTCAATTTTTGAATTGAATTTATTTGCAGAGATAAAATTAAATTTTTCTTTAAGTTTTTTTTGTATTTGTTCTGTTCTCTTTTCAATTCTTTCTTTTTCATTTAAATTTTTGCTGAACAAACTACCTTGAATTAAACAAGTTTTTTTTTGGTGATCTAAATAAGCAATGTTTCTGCTAAATAAAAACAAAAATCTGGACATTTTTGATTTTTTTTTAAGTTTGGTAATAATTCGAAATTAGAAATAAGATCATAAGAAAATAATCCACCAAAAAATAATGCCTTACTAATTTTTTTCGTATTTTTAAAAATTTTTATGATGAATCTAAATGAATCAAATATTGATAATGAAAAAATCTTTTCATCTTCATCAATATTTTTTTTCATAGGTGGGAAAATAAAGTTAATACTATTATCTTTTTCAAAAATTTTTAATTGTTTATGAGGATTTTTCTTTAAAACAGATAATATTTCTGCTCCGTTAGCAGATAGAGCAGTTATGCTAACTAGGTTTTTTATGGCAGAAACACGTATTGCACTATCAACAATCATTATACTTTCTAAATCATTTTTTTTATTAACTTCCGCAGTTTCAAGTAACAATGTTGCTGATCTTGATCCACAAAGATGATTAAAAACTTTTGTAGGATCAGGATGATAGTTAGCCTTTTTTTGAATTATTTCAATTTCATATGGGCTTGTTGCCATTAATTTACATCTCTTTTTAATCAAAAAAATTTTGTTTGATTTTTTTCCATAATAACTAATTTATAAAATTAAAGCAAGATGATCATTTTTTATTTTTTTTTAAAAAAAGTGTATAATATATTTAAGTATATAATACATATGTTAAATAAAATGATACTAATACTTACTGTATATAAAAAATAATAATAATTAAAAACTTTATATATAATATATATATTTTTTTGTTTTTAAGGGAAGATAGTAAGAAGTTTTAACCTTTAACTAATTAGTTGTTTTTTAGTGTTTTTTTGTTTTTTATTATGCAGTATTTCCATATACTAAAAAACATATTATATACATATATACAGAACTTATCCCCAGACTTATGAACATGTTATTAACATGTATATTATAAGTTAAAAAAAAAATTTTTTTATAAAAAACATAATGTTACGTTATTTATATAGTTAATAAAGTTTAAATTTTGTATATTTTTTACTAAACTTATACACAGAAATTGTGGATAACTTTTTTAAAAAATTATTTGGTTTTTTTATCTTATAAAAAATAGATTATTTTATAAGAATTTTCTTTATGAAAATCTTATATTTTATATCAATAATTTTTTCCTATTTTTGTTTTTGCATTTGATAGTTATTAATTATTTTTTTTATAAGTAATTAAACTGTGATTTTTATTGCTCGAATATTTTCAGATACATGTTTACTTGAATCTGGAAGGCTATAGTTTAAAAAAAATTATTAGAGAAGGGAGTATATCTGAGGAGATTTTTGATAAGTTTGAATTGAATAACAGCTCATTCTGTTATAAATTTATCGTATTTAACGATAAATAAGTTTTTATATATGTAGTATAAAACAGTTTAAAAAAATAATTTTAAATTGAATCGATTTACTACAGTGTTAAATTAAATATAGCATATTAAATTATTTTTGATATTTATGTTTTTTTAATTCCTATTAATCGTAAAAAATTACTTCTAATAATTATTTTAAGTCTTTTTTTATATATTCAAATATGTAATCTTTAATAAACTTTAATCAATTCTTTCTCAAGTTCATATAAACCAAAAACCATACTAAGTTTTTTTTCAAAAACTTAGTCTTTTCTGTGAAGGGGGATGTTTTTTGTGTATTTTCTTTAATTTTTCTTCTTCATCTAAGATATATTAATATTGTTTTAATATTTTTTTTTCAATTATTGGAGCTTTAATTTTTATATTAAAATTACATTAGACGTATTTTTATATGTTTTTTTTGATTTTAAAAATATTTAGTTGTTAAACTATAAATAGTATAGGAATATTTATTTTTTAGAAAATCGATATGGGAACTTCAAAATAATAACATTTTTAATAAAATATTTTTTATTCTTTAATATATTTTAACGATGCCCAACTAATAATTTTTTCTAATATCTGATCTCCGCAAGTTGTTAAAATAGATTCGGGGTGAAATTGAAAACCACATACTCGATCTAAGTTATTTCTTACAGACATAATCATTTTTTCAAAATAAGAGTTAATTATAAAATTTTTTGGAATTTTGTTGCAGACTAATGAATGATATCGAGCAACAGGTAATGGTTGAGTTATGCCTTTAAACATCTCTAAACCGTCATGGTTGATCAGTGATGCTTTACCATGGAATATTTCACCTGCATATCCAATAATCCCACCATAAGCTTCTACTATTGCCTGATGACCTAAACAAATTCCTATTATAGGGATATGACCTTTAACTTTTTTTATCAAATCTAACATGCACCCAGCATTTTTAGGTAAACTAGGACCAGGTGATAACATTAGAATAGGGTTTTTTAGTTCTTTAAGAGATTTTAAAATAATATGAATATCTACTGTATTACGATAAATTAAAACATTATTTTTTTGGTTTCTAAGTTGTTCTACAAGATTATAAGTAAATGAGTCTATATTATCTAAGAGTAAAATATTTGCCATTTTTAAAAAAATCCTTTTATAGAATGTGCTTTTTTTATAGCATTTATTACAGCTTTTGCTTTATTTAAACTCTCTTTAACTTCATCTTGGGGGATTGAATTAAAAACAACACCAGCCCCTGCTTGGATTGTTGCAATATTATTTTCTACATAAGCTGATCGTATTGTTATACAAGTATCTAAATTTCCTAAATCAGTAAAATAACCTATAGCCCCCCCATAGCTTCCTCTGCATTCCTTTTCATATTCAGCAATCAGTTGCATTGCACGTACCTTAGGTGCTCCAGTTAATGTTCCCATGTTCATACAAGCAGAATATGCATGAAGAGCATCTAATCTACCTCTTAATTTACCTACTACTTTAGAGACCAAATGCATTACATGAGAATACTTGTCTACCTTTACTAAATCTGAAACATATCTAGATCCTGGTTCACAAATACGTGCAAGATCATTTCGAGCTAAGTCTACAAGCATTAAATGTTCGGCTAATTCTTTATGATTAGTCCTCATTTCAAGTTCTATTCTACTATCTAAATCTAAATCTAGAGTTCCATCTTTTTTTCTACCCCTAGGTCTAGTACCAGCTATGGGATAAAGTTCTATTTGTCTTGTTTTTTCATCATACTTTAAAGAACTTTCTGGAGATGCTCCAAATAATATAAAACTTTCATCTTGCATGAAAAACATATAAGGACTAGGATTACTTTTTTTTAATTCTTGATAAGCTGCTAATGAATTATTACAAGGTAAGAAAAACTTTCGAGATGGTACAACTTGGAATATTTCACCTTTTTGAATTAATTTTTGAAGTTTTTTTATTATGGATGAATATTGCAAATCACTCATGTTTGAAGTTAATTCAATTTTTGAATTGAATTTATTTGCAGAGATAAAATTAAATTTTTCTTTAAGTTTTTTTTGTATTTGTTCTGTTCTCTTTTCAATTCTTTCTTTTTCATTTAAATTTTTGCTGAACAAACTACCTTGAATTAAACAAGTTTTTTTTGGTGATCTAAAATAAGCAATGTTTCTGCTAAATAAAAACAAAAATCTGGACATTTTTGATTTTTTTTTAAGTTTGGTAATAATTCGAAATTAGAAATAAGATCATAAGAAAATAATCCACCAAAAAATAATGCCTTACTAATTTTTTTCGTATTTTTAAAAATTTTTATGATGAATCTAAATGAATCAAATATTGATAATGAAAAAATCTTTTCATCTTCATCAATATTTTTTTTCATAGGTGGGAAAATAAAGTTAATACTATTATCTTTTTCAAAAATTTTTAATTGTTTATGAGGATTTTTCTTTAAAACAGATAATATTTCTGCTCCGTTAGCAGATAGAGCAGTTATGCTAACTAGGTTTTTTATGGCAGAAACACGTATTGCACTATCAACAATCATTATACTTTCTAAATCATTTTTTTTATTAACTTCCGCAGTTTCAAGTAACAATGTTGCTGATCTTGATCCACAAAGATGATTAAAAACTTTTGTAGGATCAGGATGATAGTTAGCCTTTTTTTGAATTATTTCAATTTCATATGGGCTTGTTGCCATTAATTTACATCTCTTTTTAATCAAAAAAATTTTGTTTGATTTTTTTCCATAATAACTAATTTATAAAATTAAAGCAAGATGATCATTTTTTATTTTTTTTAAAAAAAAGTGTATAATATATTTAAGTATATAATACATATGTTAAATAAAATGATACTAATACTTACTGTATATAAAAAAATAATAATAATTAAAAACTTTATATATAATATATATATTTTTTTTGTTTTTAAGGGAAGATAGTAAGAAGTTTTAACCTTTAACTAATTAGTTGTTTTTTAGTGTTTTTTTTTTTTTTATTATGCAGTATTTCCATATACTAAAAAACATATTATATACATATATACAGAACTTATCCCCAGACTTATGAACATGTTATTAACATGTATATTATAAGTTAAAAAAAAAATTTTTTTATAAAAAACATAATGTTACGTTATTTATATAGTTAATAAAGTTTAAATTTTGTATATTTTTTACTAAACTTATACACAGAAATTGTGGATAACTTTTTTAAAAAATTATTTGGTTTTTTTATCTTATAAAAAATAGATTATTTTATAAGAATTTTCTTTATGAAAATCTTATATTTTATATCAATAATTTTTTCCTATTTTTGTTTTTGCATTTGATAGTTATTAATTATTTTTTTTATAAGTAATTAAACTGTGATTTTTATTGCTCGAATATTTTCAGATACATGTTTACTTGAATCTGGAAGGCTATAGTTTAAAAAAAATTATTAGAGAAGGGAGTATATCTGAGGAGATTTTTGATAAGTTTGAATTGAATAACAGCTCATTCTGTTATAAATTTATCGTATTTAACGATAAATAAGTTTTTATATATGTAGTATAAAACAGTTTAAAAAAATAATTTTAAATTGAATCGATTTACTACAGTGTTAAATTAAATATAGCATATTAAATTATTTTTGATATTTATGTTTTTTTAATTCCTATTAATCGTAAAAAATTACTTCTAATAATTATTTTAAGTCTTTTTTTATATATTCAAATATGTAATCTTTAATAAACTTTAATCAATTCTTTCTCAAGTTCATATAAACCAAAAACCATACTAAGTTTTTTTTCAAAAACTTAGTCTTTTCTGTGAAGGGGGATGTTTTTTGTGTATTTTCTTTAATTTTTCTTCTTCATCTAAGATATATTAATATTGTTTTAATATTTTTTTTTCAATTATTGGAGCTTTAATTTTTATATTAAAATTACATTAGACGTATTTTTATATGTTTTTTTTGATTTTAAAAATATTTAGTTGTTAAACTATAAATAGTATAGGAATATTTATTTTTTAGAAAATCGATATGGGAACTTCAAAATAATAACATTTTTAATAAAATATTTTTTATTCTTTAATATATTTTAACGATGCCCAACTAATAATTTTTTCTAATATCTGATCTCCGCAAGTTGTTAAAATAGATTCGGGGTGAAATTGAAAACCACATACTCGATCTAAGTTATTTCTTACAGACATAATCATTTTTTCAAAATAAGAGTTAATTATAAAATTTTTTGGAATTTTGTTGCAGACTAATGAATGATATCGAGCAACAGGTAATGGTTGAGTTATGCCTTTAAACATCTCTAAACCGTCATGGTTGATCAGTGATGCTTTACCATGGAATATTTCACCTGCATATCCAATAATCCCACCATAAGCTTCTACTATTGCCTGATGACCTAAACAAATTCCTATTATAGGGATATGACCTTTAACTTTTTTTATCAAATCTAACATGCACCCAGCATTTTTAGGTAAACTAGGACCAGGTGATAACATTAGAATAGGGTTTTTTAGTTCTTTAAGAGATTTTAAAATAATATGAATATCTACTGTATTACGATAAATTAAAACATTATTTTTTTGGTTTCTAAGTTGTTCTACAAGATTATAAGTAAATGAGTCTATATTATCTAAGAGTAAAATATTTGCCATTTTTAAAAAAATCCTTTTATAGAATGTGCTTTTTTTATAGCATTTATTACAGCTTTTGCTTTATTTAAACTCTCTTTAACTTCATCTTGGGGGATTGAATTAAAAACAACACCAGCCCCTGCTTGGATTGTTGCAATATTATTTTCTACATAAGCTGATCGTATTGTTATACAAGTATCTAAATTTCCTAAATCAGTAAAATAACCTATAGCCCCCCATAGCTTCCTCTGCATTCCTTTTCATATTCAGCAATCAGTTGCATTGCACGTACCTTAGGTGCTCCAGTTAATGTTCCCATGTTCATACAAGCAGAATATGCATGAAGAGCATCTAATCTACCTCTTAATTTACCTACTACTTTAGAGACCAAATGCATTACATGAGAATACTTGTCTACCTTTACTAAATCTGAAACATATCTAGATCCTGGTTCACAAATACGTGCAAGATCATTTCGAGCTAAGTCTACAAGCATTAAATGTTCGGCTAATTCTTTATGATTAGTCCTCATTTCAAGTTCTATTCTACTATCTAAATCTAAATCTAGAGTTCCATCTTTTTTTCTACCCCTAGGTCTAGTACCAGCTATGGGATAAAGTTCTATTTGTCTTGTTTTTTCATCATACTTTAAAGAACTTTCTGGAGATGCTCCAAATAATATAAAACTTTCATCTTGCATGAAAAACATATAAGGACTAGGATTACTTTTTTTTAATTCTTGATAAGCTGCTAATGAATTATTACAAGGTAAGAAAAACTTTCGAGATGGTACAACTTGGAATATTTCACCTTTTTGAATTAATTTTTGAAGTTTTTTTATTATGGATGAATATTGCAAATCACTCATGTTTGAAGTTAATTCAATTTTTGAATTGAATTTATTTGCAGAGATAAAATTAAATTTTTCTTTAAGTTTTTTTTGTATTTGTTCTGTTCTCTTTTCAATTCTTTCTTTTTCATTTAAATTTTTGCTGAACAAACTACCTTGAATTAAACAAGTTTTTTTTGGTGATCTAAAATAAGCAATGTTTCTGCTAAATAAAAACAAAAATCTGGACATTTTTGATTTTTTTTTAAGTTTGGTAATAATTCGAAATTAGAAATAAGATCATAAGAAAATAATCCACCAAAAAATAATGCCTTACTAATTTTTTTCGTATTTTTAAAAATTTTTATGATGAATCTAAATGAATCAAATATTGATAATGAAAAAATCTTTTCATCTTCATCAATATTTTTTTTCATAGGTGGGAAAATAAAGTTAATACTATTATCTTTTTCAAAAATTTTTAATTGTTTATGAGGATTTTTCTTTAAAACAGATAATATTTCTGCTCCGTTAGCAGATAGAGCAGTTATGCTAACTAGGTTTTTTATGGCAGAAACACGTATTGCACTATCAACAATCATTATACTTTCTAAATCATTTTTTTTATTAACTTCCGCAGTTTCAAGTAACAATGTTGCTGATCTTGATCCACAAAGATGATTAAAAACTTTTGTAGGATCAGGATGATAGTTAGCCTTTTTTTGAATTATTTCAATTTCATATGGGCTTGTTGCCATTAATTTACATCTCTTTTTAATCAAAAAAATTTTGTTTGATTTTTTTCCATAATAACTAATTTATAAAATTAAAGCAAGATGATCATTTTTTATTTTTTTTAAAAAAAAGTGTATAATATATTTAAGTATATAATACATATGTTAAATAAAATGATACTAATACTTACTGTATATAAAAAAATAATAATAATTAAAAACTTTATATATAATATATATATTTTTTTTGTTTTTAAGGGAAGATAGTAAGAAGTTTTAACCTTTAACTAATTAGTTGTTTTTTAGTGTTTTTTTGTTTTTTATTATGCAGTATTTCCATATACTAAAAAACATATTATATACATATATACAGAACTTATCCCCAGACTTATGAACATGTTATTAACATGTATATTATAAGTTAAAAAAAAAAATTTTTTTATAAAAAACATAATGTTACGTTATTTATATAGTTAATAAAGTTTAAATTTTGTATATTTTTTACTAAACTTATACACAGAAATTGTGGATAACTTTTTTAAAAAATTATTTGGTTTTTTTATCTTATAAAAAATAGATTATTTTATAAGAATTTTCTTTATGAAAATCTTATATTTTATATCAATAATTTTTTCCTATTTTTGTTTTTGCATTTGATAGTTATTAATTATTTTTTTTATAAGTAATTAAACTGTGATTTTTATTGCTCGAATATTTTCAGATACATGTTTACTTGAATCTGGAAGGCTATAGTTTAAAAAAAATTATTAGAGAAGG